GTTTTGGGGGTTTTTATCCAAACTAAAAATAATAGATATTAAAAATTAGTTTGCAACGGGAAAATAATATTTTTGGTGACAATTTGTAAAAAAATAGAATTTGTTCAGTTGGTCTCAAAAAATTTCCATATACCAACTAGTAAAATTTAAGGATCCGCGTATTCCCTATGGTATAATACAGCTTTTTGAAGATGGAAATAAAGAAATTTTTGTAGATTTTGCGTAATGATTAACTAATGGTCACGGTAACTTGAAAAGCGGGGGATAGCTGTCACTAAGATTAATGAAGAAAAGGCGTGTAAAACCAAGTAGAATTACTGTTTTGACGTCTATAAATTATATTTATGATGCAGAAAAGGTCGATCATTTTTATTTAATGAAGAATATTCTAGAAGGATGGGTTGATAAAGATGTTATTCCCCGTTGGCAGCAGATTATCCAGTTTAGAAGACGACAATATAGCTTTTCAGCCCATTTTTCAGCAAATACGAACACATTATCTATTGCTTTAACATCACTGTGACATACAAGTGCAACTAACATATTAAGCATTGAGTCCTTTGGTATTTCCTTATTAGCTGATACCAATTCACCGAATAATTTTATTGCTTCATTAACATCAAAATTTGTTATATGTTCCATTACGGTCAAATAACGCAACCATACTTCATCTCTATTTCTAAATTTTAAATTTTTAATAAGAATTTTGACTTTTTGCATATCGGATCTTTTGATGTAATGTTTCAATAATTGTTGTTGAAACCTAATAGGTGAATTGTTCAAAAGTCCAGAATGGTCTAATTTTATATATAAATCCCAAGCTTTAGCGATGTTTGCATTATCAATATATTTAAATGATTTCGTTATCATTTTTAGAAGGTCATCTTGAATATTTTGATTTTCATTAACTGGTGTAAGCAATTTTGAAGTAATCTTTGGTTTTTCGAATGTAAACTTCAACAAATTTTTCTTTTTATTACCAAATAAGTAATGCGACCTACTATCGAATTCGGTAATTCTTGGGTAATAAAAATCTCCGTGAGCGAATTTTAAAATTTGTGGCGATATAAATGGTATTTCTAGTGTTCGATTTAATTGTTTTAGGTTATTGTTCATTAATTGTGTAAAATATGTACGAGTGCTGTTTCTTGACAATATCATGTTGAGGAAAAAGAATAACGCATGTACCTTAGACATGCATTTGAAATGTGGATCTTTTTTTTTAAGGAATCCAACCGATAAGATATTGTCACATGATCAAAACCCCAATTGTAAAAATACCGTTCCTGATAGATCGACGGCATCACATACTGCAGTACTTACTGTACGTATGTATGTACGTACGTACGTGTGATGTCAAATAAATGGCCTGTCGAGAAAATAAATTTAGACGTAGCCCTTTTTTTTTAAAAAAAAAAACTATTCGAATAAATACGTTATAGGAATTGCGCTGATTTTATGAATTAATTATTATTATTATATAATAGCTGCAGCGTTCCAAAGGAATTCCACACTTTAGGCTTTTAAATTGAATCCGATAAATTACAAATTTGAAGCCCGAAGTGTCAATTCCCATATACAGTAAATAAAATCAGGAGACCAAACTACTAAAAGATTCGATGTCCAAAGTTCTAACAGGCCTGATTTTATTGTTTGTTTATTAATAACGATAGAGGTTTCTATTAAAAATAGTAACAAACATCATTAGAAATGGTGAAAATGCGGTTTTGAGTATGCCATATATTTTATGCACAGGTAGAGTCTACGCTAATGTTGAGTATAGTTTATTTGTTAATGATGCGCTAGTTATCGTATTATACCATATGTTAAGTATGCGCAGTTTATTGATTCCCGTCAAAGTACTGAGTGGTTGGCAAAGCCAAGGTAGAAAATTTTTATTCAAAAAGAAGATTTTCTTAAATACAGTAGCTCTAACATCGAATATGTAATTTTAATTTGCATGTGGCTGATTACTACGTTAATAACCTGGCACAATTTAAGAAATGCGAAGCTATAATTTATGTTCATAATGACAAATAAAACGGCTTTAATCCGTTCCTTATTTAATAATAATGATATATATTCTTTGGCTCGTGAATCTCTTGAACAAATACTAGAACATATATTAAGTCAAAGAAAAAAAAAAAATGTTTCAATCAGAATTACAAAATGATCAAAATAATCAAAAAAGACCATTTTATGTTACAAAAAATTTTGAGTTACCTGTTAAATAATTATACTCACAAAGTCACTACTCAACATATTGTGAACAGTATAGTTCCTGTATTTGGTGCCAGTTTAAAAATACAGTTGAGCAAGGAAAACATACTGAAAAATCACCAAAAAGTCAGATGTGGTGCACAACATATAATGTGCCTTTATATCTAAATAAGCAATGTCCAGATTGTTTTGTTGAGTATCATGAATATAAATTATAAAATAAATACTGTTTTTATACTGTAATATGAAGTTTTGTATTATGTTCACTAGTATTTTGTCACAGTTGTAATATAAGTGAGCATCAGAAAATTTGGACCCAAATTTAGATCCACAGTTTAAGGAATATATATATTATAAACAGTATAACTTAATATATCAAACAATCAGGATTAAATCACTACCTAAAACAATTTCAGGTTAAGCAATTTACATTATTTACTTATTCTTGCTTTTATTAATAAGCATTATATGATAATTAATATATTGTGATTATTAATCATATGATTTGAATTTTTTTGGGTGGCGTTTATAATGAACCTCAATATAACAAACACTAATTGTATAATGAAGGTAATTTCAAATTTTATGTTTAAATTAGCCTTGATATAATGAAACTATTAATAAAGTTTTATATAATGAAGAAAAATCCTAACTCCAAAGCTTCATAATATTGAGGTTATGCTGTAATGAACAGATAACAATTCAATTAAATGTATTTGGTTAATAACTTTTTTTTTTTACTTAATCTTATTCCATATTAAATTTATATTAATACTAAAACAGATACTTGTTTAATATATTTGGTTTAGTAAATATTTCTGTAATTTCTGTAATTTTTGTAATGAATTATTTATATATAGAATAAATTTATTTGAATTTTTTATACTAGGACTTTTTAAGGACAATAGATTTAGGTCCCAAAATCAAGACCTGGTTTTTGAAAATTGAGTCCAAAGACCAGGTTCTAAAGTCCAGGACCTAAGGACTTTACCAACCCTAGTTGTAGTGTTCCGATTCGGATTAAAAAACACGGTTTGATCCGGGATTGAACCGGACTGAATCCGAAATTTCGGTTTGAATCCGGAACCAATCCGAAGTATTTATGGTTAAATATTTTAACATGGTCAACTTGGAATTTATATATTAGTGTAATGTGAAAGAAAAAACTGGACCCAAATCTCAAAATTAGGCTTAATCCGGGCAATCCGAAACTTTTGGCCAAACCCGATCTTACGGTTCGGATTGGATGATAATCCGAATCCGCCGGATCCGGATTATTCGGAACACTAATCAGTTGGCAGTATGTAATTAGAGTTGAGTTAGTTTGCATTAAATTATCATGAGTTACTGTAAAAAATTTTGATACAAAACTTACCATTAGGATATGCGATATGTAGTTAACATTGAGTTGGTACACATTGTAATTTCAATCATAAGCTATTGTAAAAATTCTGTTGTAGAATTTACTCGCTATTCTGGTAATAATAAAAAATTGTATTGGAATTATCATGATTTCTATTGTGAGCTATTAAAAAAATTTGTTAAAACTTACTTGACTTATAATATGTAATTAAAGTTGTTAATTTATATTGAAATTAGTAATATCTATTGTGTTACATCCTTACTCGTCATTCAATGACTATATTATGTAGTTAAAGTTGAGTTGCATTAAAAGTATCGCGAATTACAGTAAAAAAAAAATGCTACAAAACTTATGTATCAGAATAAATTATTGTGATTTTTATTGTAAGTTACCATAAAATTCTGCTACAGAACTTACTCGCTATTCTGGAAATGACTAAAGGTGAGTTAGTTTGTAATGGAATTATTTATCGTGAATTACTGTTACAAACCTCTTCGACACATCATATGGAGTTTGAATTTGTATTGAAATTATTGTGATTTTCTATCGTGAATTACTGTAAAAAAATTCTTTATAGAACTTGCTATTCTAATAATCGCTATATATAGTTAAGGTTGAGTTAGTTTGCATTAGAACTATTACAGTTTCTATCATGCGTTATTGTAAAAAATTCTGTTGCAAACCTTACTATTCTGGTAATGCAAGGCATATGATTCACTAACGCAAGTTTTAACATTATCCATATCCCTGTTAATATTAACGATATAAATGATAACGAATATCAATTTTTAAAAAATAAAATATAGAAATAGATAACAACTATGATAGTATCATTTAAATACGTACGTATATGACCTGTGGCAAAAATGTTATTTAACGGGGAAGACAAATATATTTTCTAAATTAAACTATACAAAGTTATTTTTTTGTTCTCATAACATAAAATAACCCGGCAACACAGCTTTTTATTTTATTTTTAAAAAATTTATACATATATAAACATATATTGTAAAATTGTAAAATTTTTTTATAGACATATAAAAAACCTACCCGGTAGTATAAATTTTGCAGAATTTGTTTATAATAACCAATTTATTAATAAGTTTGTATGGTTGTATTTATTTTATTATAAAAAAATTTTTGTATTTTAAATATAAAAAATTTAAAAAGGTTTGCAATTAATATTTATGCTTCGGACTTTTAACAGATCCTGTTTCCTAGTATTATGTATATTTTTGTTTTACTCTTTCGCCAATTTTAAAGAAAAAACTTTGCCGATTTCAAATGAAAAAAAAAACGGCTTAAAATTATCTTAAACTTGATACCTAGCTAATTGGCTAATTGTCTTGGTGATCGATCGATCGGCAGATTTAAGATCGTCCGACATTTCTACGTTCCGTTACGCCACAAGATTGCGGACCAGATGTTGATCGTTTGACCAACTTAATTTACACGGAATGAAAATCATAAAATTTATTTTTATTTTTTTTTATTTTTTTATTTTTTTTACCAAAATCTAAATTCACGTCGATCGGTTTCGGCATACTTCGCCACTAGCTAAGCAATTTTGATTAAAAATCGTATGTCTTTAACCCAAGGCTTTTGTAATAATTTTGCTATTGGTAGTTATTAAACTTTGCGAACTTCCGTACGATCTACGATTAAATCTTGCTGAAAAACTTGTATACATATTTGTTGTTGCCTTATAAAGGTGAGAGGGAAATATAATATAAACAATTGGTTAAAAATGTTGACTCGCGTTTATGTTTGTTTTTTTATTATGAATTCTTATGAATTCTTATGTATTTATTGTTTATTATTATAAAATTATAAAATAATTAATAAAAAAATAAATTTAATATAAAACTTTCTGATTTTCGTGGCGAATTCTGTCAAACAACAAATGCGCGCAACCTTTTTTAATTTCAAGTTTAAGGTACGTATACTGGAGATAAATTGATTAGATAAAGGAAGCGAGAAGAAGTTGGTTAATATCTATAGGAGGCTGAGTAAAGTTGTTGGAATGGTAATTAAACATATATTGTTATTGACTTCTCAA